AGAGGAAGAAAACGTTCAGAGGAAAAGAGAAGAGGGAAGGGTAGAGGAGAGGCATCTCTAGAGTTATGCCGTTAAGTGGGAGATAAAAATATTTTGGGGAATGCTGGAGGCAAAGCAAGGCAATTGGGAACTCCTTTCTCAAGTATTTTATTCTATGAGTTCTGTCAATTCGGGCCTCTGCTTTCTCTTAATCTTTACTAAAATTGAAACAGATAAGAAAAGAATAATGCTGCGATACAAACAAAACCAATTCTTTTGATTTCTGCCTCACCTAAATTAATGATCATCTTTATATGTGCTTACAAAGTGGCAAAGATTTTCTATATCATTTCTGAACAGTTTCCAGGGCGCTAACGATACTCAAAAACTAGGAAACTGTCTAAATGGCGATCATTTCTGCACACCTCCACCAAAGCTGGCTGCAGTCAGAAGGCCCAGGAGGGAGGTGCTGAGCAGTGGGCTGCAGTGATCAAAGCAGCAATCTGAGGGAAGCACAAGCAATTGGAGATCAATTTTCCAACCCCAAGGGGAAGGAATTATGCTATTAAAAAATAGTTCCCTTCTTTTTTTCCCCCTGAACATGATTTCAATTATTTTTTGCTTTCAAGCTTCTCTGCCCTGGACTTTTCTCACCCAATGCTTGGTCCCCAGAAGAAAAGTCATGGATTCTTATGCAGATTTTGGAACATTCCTTTTAAGCCCAGGTGTAAAAATGCATTGAAATAAACCAGAGCTTAGAAAGACATGCTAGCAGCTGTAGGAAGGCTGGCAGTTACCATGCATCCTTCCTTCAGGGGTTCCAAATGAAGTTGGAGCGTGTACCTGAAATGAGGGCGGCTCGTGCTATGGTTGTATGGGCTCCACATACAAGCTGGAAAACTATGGCCAAAAGTTGCAATTTCTACTGTGCCGTTTCTGTCGTGGATGAAACTATTTGGGTACAGTCCCCCAAATCCTGGACAGAGGAGAGAAGCAGCAGCTGCACACAGACAAGGCCCACGAGCATCCCCACCCTTCCCGCACTGCTTGCGGGTTCTGCGCTCGCTGCCCACCTGTCTTCATTTGTTGACTCCGGTCGGCCCATCTGATGGAGACCCACAGATTTAAGTGTCCCAATGGTTATTTTTAAAGTTAATTCTCCACAGAAGGATTTCTTATTAACGGGAGCACCTGGCCATGGAGGCCTTGCTCATTCTTCTGAAATACAGATTGATGATGATCGCGTTGCTTTGCAGATGCCACTGTGATATTTATTCAAGTGATGTCTTCCATGCACCGTGCATCATCTCCAGCTAGAAAACTGCATTACTCTTTAATAAATACTTTGCCTCTGATGTTTTGGTGTGAGAAGATTTGTGCACTGATTACCTCTCTGGGTGATTTGTTTGAGAACCACTTGCATGCAGAGCCATGCAGAGCTGCACGTGAGGAGCAGCGCAGGGTTGCTCCTGATGACCACCACCCACCCCTGCTGGATTTTTGTTACCTGCACGCTGAGCCCATCACTTCTGCACCTTCTACTTGTTGATTTTACTGATTCAGAAACTTGTTTACTCTCCACTGGTGAAACTTCACAAACCGTGCAGAAAGGGTTTAGGCTGAGTAACAAGAGGGGAATATGTCCTGGAAGGTGAGCCCCACAGTGCAGGCAGCCATGCTATTCTTGCCTTGTGTGTTGACCTGTTGATTTTCGAAAGGCACACGACATTCATTTATGAAATGGCAGCCCTTAAGTTCTGAATTAAATTGAGTAGGCTGAATTATCTAACCATTAAAGAAACTTTCTAACATGCTCCTTGCTATATACTGGTTTCGGTGTTGTTTTCTTTTTTTTTTCCTGGTAACAGAGGAGACATTATATTTCCAGTTTTGGATATAATTCAATAGCAAACTCTACATTTTGTCAGGGAATATTAAGGCAGAAATAAAGTTATGACACCTATGAAATACGAAAGAATTTATTACTGCTACTTTAAAATGTACTGTCATATTTAGACCATCTTTTCAATCCCAGCTAATCAACTCTCGGGGTGTTCAAGGAACATTTAGATTTTGTACTGAGAGACACGGTTTAGTGGGAAATACTGGTGGTCGGAGGGCGGTTGGGCTGGATGACCTTTTTCCAGCCTTGGTGATTCTGTGCCTGCGTGACAAATGCTGCATTTCAGCAAATCAAATAAACCTCTGTATCAACCCAGCCCTGCCTGTCTTTGTGAGGCTCAGGAGCCTGTGACAGCAGGACCAGCAGGGCGTGCAGGATGCCCTGGGGAGACAGGCACCTGTGCTCATCTGTCTGCCCACAGAGCACCCCTGTGTCAGATGGGATTTTTGTTTCCTGCCAGCTAACAGGTAAAAGCCACAGTCAGGTTGACTCACGTGAGGAAAGTGCTCTGCATGGGTGCTGCTGGGCACAGAGGGTACCTGCAGGGCAAGGCCTGGCCAAGGCGGGCCCAGCACCAGGCACACCACGAGCTGAGCCCCAGGGCTGTGCACAGAATGGGCTGGAGCCTGAATAGGGGCATCCCAACACCCGGCAGCCCACATTCCTTGGGGTGCCATGGGCCTGCTCTCCATCAGCAGGAGCCAGGGTGGGCAGCAAGGATCGGTGCTGCACGGTTGCAGCCAGGACGTCCGTGCTGCTGCAGGTGGGCCACAGCTTGCAGCCAGTGGTGCTGCTTTGGATCAGCTGCACAAAGCTGGTTCTGTTCCCCTGCTGCTGTGTGCTTGTGGCCAAACGCAGCCACGGCCGGTACACAGAAAGTCGGTTTATATTGCTGTGAAAACCACAGAAAAAAATTGTAGTGTTCACTGCTAAAAGGAAACCTTTATTTCAAAGAGCTCAGAAGTGGTTTGATGTTTATGTCGTGAGATATGTTGGGAGCTTTGTGAGTTAATTAGAGCTTCAGGTTTCATTTTGTGGCCAGTGATTTTTCTTTTTAATCTACAGATACAGAACAATATTTGTCAATGTAAAGTTGACACAACGATGAAAAATCAGGGATATTTGTAGGTTGGCCAGCAACCAGGTACTCACTGCAGGGATGGCGAGGGCTTTAAACATGCCAGTAATCCCCAATTAATGATCTCATCCCACCTTTGGGTTAATGGCAGGGACAAATAGCAGGGCACATCTGGCAGAGCTGTCGTGGTTAAGGTAGCAAAGGAGTTACAGAGCTGGCACAAAAATATCTCACAGGGACACTTGAAAGCAGAACTTCCCTCTTTGTTTGTTTTTCCATTCTATGTGTTTTAATGTAGATTAGGCATCCTAGCAGATTTTTATATTATTTATTGTTTTGTAGGATGGAAATCAATTCACACAAATTACTGCAAGGAAGTCCCCATTGGTAAAGCTCTTGCTAGGAAAAGGTTATTTGTAATGACCAAATTCGTCACTGTTTGGAATCTCATAAAGGTCACAATAGAAGGTTTTCACTTGTTTTAAATAAAATTCTGTATTTTAAGAAGAAACGTGCTTAACTTTCATTTCATAGAAATATCAAACCTGTTTGCACTGTAATTTACTTTTTGAGCTCTTGACATTTACCCAGCTGCCTGTCTTTGGAGAACAATCTCTTGATTTGGCTGGGAAGCTCTCACAAGAAAACTGTCAATTACAAATTACAGCACGACTCTGCAAAGAGCCCATCTGCACCGAGGCACCCTGCGAGCCTGGGCTGGCTCCATCCATGGGGAGCAGCTCAGCCCACGGGGAGCAGCTTGATCTGTGCTGTGCTCCCAGCTGAGGCCGCTGGGCAGAGTTTGTGTCTGGTAAACACGAGGTCCTCCTGGTAGGCTTTGCCTTCCTACTAATTAAATGTTGCTCAGAGTAACAGAGTGAATGGGACGATCTGTTAATTTGCACGGTCATCCTATTTGCCATATGAGGAAGGCAGAAAATGGTTTGTAGGTAGGGGAGCAGCCTGGAAAACCCCACATTGCACCTCACCCAGGGAAGGGCAGCTCCTGAAGTCCTCCCTGTGCAGGAAGGACTTGGCAGGGACACGAGAGCTGCTGCCCAGGGAACCATCAGCCCATTACAGCAGTGTTTGTTTTCATGGCAGACACACAGTGCAAGTATTTCACATCTTGCACAGATAAAATTCAGCCCTCTGAACCACAGGTGCAGCGTCAGGGACCACAGAATTGAGGATGGTGCCAGCATCCCTGGGGCACGGGATCAGCAGCCACCACAGGGCCGGAGTCACAGCACCACGTTGCTGCTAAAGAAGGCTGCCTTCAGCAGCTGAATTATTTTCCCAGCGACCTGAGCCTTTAAGTAATAGCCTTTCAAATTGCATATCAGAGTATTGGAGGTGTATGCATCAGGGCTTAAATCACATTATCAATATAGCGATGTGCCTAGGGAGCAGAGTTACTCACACTGAAGTCATTGCTGTGTTAGGAATAACAGTATTTAAAAATCTAGTGCTAGATTAAGAAAACGACTGAGTTAATAGGAGGCTTATTTAAACCATGCAAGCCAGCTGAGAGAATAGGATCATTCCAATTAGCTCCAGAAATACATCTGTGTAATGTTTCCATCAGCTAACAAAGGAGAAGATAAAACCATTCTGTCACCACCACACACGCTGAGTACCTAAATAACAGTTATTTTCTCAGGATAAGTATTGGAGGGTAACTGTCAGCAGCTGCTAATTAACCCCCTCACGTGCCTGCACACCCAACTTGCTCCTGCCCTCTTTGTGCTGCTCCCCCAGGACACAGCCTGCACTGCTGGCCAGACCCCTGCCCTTCCTCCTCCTCAAAGATCAGGGCTGTCCTTATACCATTGTACCACCTAAGAGAAGTGGGCCATCTCAACCGTTTGCCCTCCAACTTGCTCCTCAACCACAGCCTCTCTGCTCAGCTCCTTGCCCCCTTCTGAGCAGCAGGGAACACCCCTGGGCCAGGTGCAGCACATCAGCATTAGGGCCTGCAGCTGGGTGGGAGCAGTGCTGGGCTGATTTATTCCCCACCCTGTTTGGGGGTGCCCTGCTGGGGGAAGGTGTGAGTGTTTGTGCTGAAGAAAATGTGGCATGGAAAAGAAGAATGTAATGAAGCTTACTCCAAATATCCCCAAGGTAAGTGCTGTACATGTTTCTATTATTTTTTGTGCTGGTTGTACTGGTCTAAAGGCTCAGTAGAATTCTAAGTAATGAGTAATGTAGGAAATATCCAAATAATTTTCTAGGACAGTATCTCTGATAAAGCAGATTTTATTTGCAGTTGCAATGGCCGGCCTCCTGCAAGCAGGAGAGCACACAGACAACAGAGTTACCTCTTTTATTCCCTATTCCCTGACGCTTCTCTCGTACTCCCCCAGTTCCTGATCAGCTGAGTACTTCAGGTTCACAATCTTCTCAACACTTCACTAAACATGGAAACACTGGACAAACATAAGTTTTTGCAGCATAAGTGTCAATCTGCAGTTAATTAACTTATTCCACATCTGATCATTATTTTGCGGATACCTGCTTGTCCTCCTTTCTACAAAGATAAGCCTGGGAGAGAGGCAGGGGAGGATCCTGGTGCCTGCCTTCACACCCCAACCTTCTCACGGAGTGAGACAGTCTGGCCTTGTGTAGAGGCCCTGACTTCTCTGATGTTTGCTAAATCTGTCTGTCTTTTGCCGAGTTTCTTATCCTAAGAGAGCAGCTCTACAGTATGTTTTCTAATCCTTAGCACGCTATACTCGCATTGTTTGGAACATTTGACAGCTATTACAGTTTTGCAAGAAAGAATTAATCACATAATTCAGTAATAATGTTTCTAAAACACGCCGCTAACATATACAGTATTTTACTACTTAGATCAACTATTTCTAAGGATAAGTTACAGAATACAAATGCATTATGTTCTACTTCTTCAAACCAGTTGCTGCTTTTTAATATCAAATGCAGAAACAACATTCCATTCCCACAGTAATGTTAAAGCTACCTTTTTCTTGCTTGAAGGAAGATTTTTCTGGTGTGTGTGAGTGGAAGCTATAAGAAAAATGAAAACCATTGCTTCTTATTTAAAGGAAAAAGGCAAGATTGAGGTTGGTTTGGAACAAAACTGCATTGCATAAACATGGAGGGCCTTACATTGCTGGTGAAACACCTTTTCTGTTGCTGGAAAGACTGGAAGAGCACTGGTGTGATTCTCTCCTGACTTAACATGGTGGTGTTCTTGAAGATATATTGGTTTGAATTTAGGTGATGTATGGTGCAAAAATCACACAAGCGTATGCTATAATCTCAGAGTAGTCACTGCTATATGCACATCATAATGGATAAATAACTGATGTCAAGTGCTTGTGTTCAGAATTGATTTGGAATTGGGCACAACAAGTGGATTCTCGGTCTTTTATTCACAGTTGCTGATGGATTTCAGTACGAAACGGGGCGGTGCTGGGGTTAAAATGTTGTGCACGCTTTTTCCTTCCGCTGCCTCGTGTGACGCTTTCCATCGCTATAACAGAGCCGGGGGGCTGCTGGGCCGTTGTGCGGGGCTGCCCGGACCCCCAGCAAGCACTAAGGAGGGGTCAAGGAAGGCGTGTCGGCGCTTTGTCCGTAACAAAAGCGTTTGTAATCTCTGCTCGCCGTCGGATAGGTCTTTCTGTCTTGATGCTCGGTGCTTGCGGTCCTCTTCCTTTTTATAATGGAAACAAACGGAGAACAGTTTCTGCTTTGCCCTTCCCTGTGAGCGTGCTTCCTATTCAAACTGGTATTCGCAAGCTCTGTGCGAAGATATTTTTCTTAGCTGAGTCTAATCCTCCCCACTTGACTTTTTGAAATGCCAGGCATCTCGGTGATTGAAGACAAAGAAGCTGAAGGTGCCACAAGTGTCTCTAACGACTGTGCTTTACCAGGCAGCGGCGGCTGCGGTGCGCGTTGGAGATGCGGGGCCTGCGGCTCTCCGCGCCGGGTCCCGCTTCCTTCGGTGCTTAAAGCTGCTTTGCTGGGTTGGGTGGAGTGCCGTGTGTATCTCCGCGATGCAAATTGCCCTACTTATCAACCACAAGACTTCATGAATATAGCTATAAAAATAATAACAAAAATGTCAGGAACTTGTTCTTCAGCAAGCTGGCTGAACAAACGAGCAATCTGTTTTCCACCTGGGAGATATCGTCTACATCTAAAGAGAGCTCGCAAAAACGTTTTGTGCGTGTATCTAATTAGCTTATTCTTTCCTCCAGAATGCTCCCGTTTGGGATGGGAGAGATACGCTTTGACAGCTCATTTGCTGTAAGTTAAGTCTGTGCGTTATCTCTTGCAAATGGTGAGAGGGAGCTAAGGGGAAACGGTGCTCCTCAGGCTGGGGGATGCCTGGGCAGAAGCCCGTGGTGTGGGAAGGTCTGTGTGGGCTCTGCTTGGAGGCTGTGATGGCATCGAGGCTCTGGAGGCTGGCAGCCCCACGTCCCTCTGTATTCCTGGCAGCGCTGCTCTTGGCTGCGTGATGCTGGGTAGATGGAGGAGGAGGGGGTGAGAATCCTTGGCTAAACTGGTTGCTTTCAGATGTTTCTCCCTATGCTTTCACTTGTTGACAAATGCGCACTATTGTTTGTTACAAAGGCTGTGAGATGTTAGAATAGCATGGAATCTGCTCTGAAAGGGAGAAAACGTTGCTTGTCCTGGGTGTAGGTGTGCAGCAAGCTGATTGTCCCAGAGTGTGATGCTCCTTGGTCGCTGGCATCCAAGGATTTCTCTTCAGGGCCCATGGGGTATCTGCAGAGCCATGGTCAGTGCTGCTACTTGGTCTCTGTAAGAGCTGTGGCAAATCTTGAAACAAAGCCCACGGGGATGAGAAGCAGCAGCTCTCCTCTCCCAGTGATGCTTTGCACGCTGTGGTCCTTGCACCCTCAGACACTCGAACCTGGTGTAAAGCACAGTCAGTTGGTGGGGGTCACTCCTGAAGTGGGTGCAGTTCAGTGGGTACAGCTTATTCAATTTACAGATAGGAAGGGCAGCCATTCTTAGCCAAAGCGTTAATTGAATAATAAAAGGATGATGCTGTTGCAAGGAGAACTTTGCTCTGGTGGAAGTTCAAGCCCACAGCAGCCTGAAAGCATTTATCTGCAGCGTGTGGTGGTTGCAGATAAACATTTTACTTTAGTTTTTTCCCTAGCTTCTCTCCTGTCTCTCTGGAGCATTGCTTTAATGGTAGCTGGGAGGGGGGTAGGGCACAGCTGTGGCTTGGGTGTCAGCCCAGTGCACACCTGAGACCCCTTAATGATTACTTCCAACCAAAGGAAAACTGTTTCAGAAAAGGCGAGTCTGCCACTTTACAGCAAATGTATCCTGTGCTCAGCTTGGTGCTTACAGAAACAAAACTAAAGGCAAGTTAGCTGCTAGCAGAGGAGAAGAGCCCTTGATTTCCGTAGCCATTAGGCAGTGGGGTGTTCCAGGAGCACAGTGAGTGTGTCACGAGCCCGTGGGTCAAATTCCCAGCTCTAGTGTGGGGCTGTCAAATGTGATGTGATTTTTTTTTCCTTTCTAAATGGTTTCAAAAATCTGCTCTGTTTATCGCTACCGAATCACATCTATGAGAAACCCTGGTAAACTACTTCTTAGTGACCTGCTTAATCTAATAATGGTGGGAACAAAGCCAACAAAAAGAGCCTTTTGTTTTGAACAATGGGAATCTAACACAGTGGTTTGAGCTTAATGACAGAAGTAATTTAGGTGTAAATCGCCCGTCTGAGGAGACCACGGTGCATCACAATGAGTGCTTCTAGGACCTCGGGCGGTGCCCCAAAGGGAGTCCTGCTCTGCAGTGCAGGTGCAGGACATGGCCTTCCTCAAACATGATGTGCCCTCTGCTCTTTGGGCTCTCACCTGATGCCTTTCATAGGCTACCTCATTTAACTTTCCTAAATTAGCATGAAGTACATAGAGATTGATATATTTATGATAAAATGAATGCAGCATGGCACTGTATTCACGGCTCACTCCTACTTTTAAGTGGCCCAATTGGAAATTATAGTGACTATTCATGCCCAAGAAGCTTCACTTTCTCATCTCCTTCGCAGTAGAGCTCATTGGTGAGGTGTGTGGAGGAAAGCCCATTTTTCCCCAGCACAACTAAACTTAAGTGATGAACTTAAACATCGAAGTTCTGCACGTAATGACGACAGGCTGGCACGCAGCTTGCACAGAGCTGGTGTATGGCATGGCCTGAAGGCTCTGTGGGCAGCAGTGCCATATGGCTTCCTGCAGTTTCAAGTCATCACCTTTCAACCAACGTATGATGCCTATGTTTGGATATCAGTCTTAGAGCAGCCTAGAACTGAGGCTTGATGTTGGTCAGTGGTGGGAAGCAGCTGTGAGCCTGTGAATTCCCACCCACGTCCCTCCAGTTCCATGGGAGACCTGCACTGTGGCTGGGAACCCTGCTATCCCTTCTGTCAAGCCAGCAGTTTTTTCCACTCATTATTTTGGAGTGGGGAGTTGAGAACAAATTACATGCTAATTATAGCACTGCTTAGCATCTACCTCTTCAGACTGTTGTGCTCAGGAATGAGGCTGTCAAAGTGATGTTAACAAATGAGGATGTCTCGCAGGAAAAGAGCTCTTCCTTGTACACATCTTGTATGAAATCTATATCTTCTAAGGTATTATTTTGGCTAAGAAAATTATTCCTTTAGTTTACCCGAAGGAAAAATATGTAAACGTTTATAGTAGAAGCCTACAACAAAGCATCTGGATGCCAGGGTGAGGTGCGTGGTTCCGTTAAGCACTGCTTGCTGTTGTGTGAATACTGTCACGAAGTCCCTGGAAAGAGTGGTGTGAAAACGCCGTGTTAGCAGTTCAACGGGTCAAGCTGAGTTCATGGTCAATACCGTATTGTTTTTCTGGGTAGTATGGTCATAATTACAAGGTCAAGGAAGACTCATTTGTTTTTCTTCAGTGTAAGGCTTTTTTTCCTTCCATTCAGTTAATTGGTTTTAAATTACACGTGAATCTAGCAAAAGAATTAGGTATGTGTGGAAAGGTTAAGAAAAGGTTAACATATCTTCGGGTGGAGTTAAGCCTTTGTCCAAGCACTTAGACACTGCTGGGAAGTGCAGAACCAAGGAAGGGCTGCTCGGTGCTCACGG